TCTCCTAAACGCCTGTCGCATAGTCTTCAGTCTTTAGCTCCCTTTACTGTAATCCTGCCACCTGCCTTCTGTCCCTGTGAATGTGTGCAGCTTCCTCCTACCCGCCCCCTATGAAAGACAGAAGGGCATTCAGCAGGTATGGGCTTCCTTCCCCAGCACACTGACCTCTACTGTCTTAAACTTGTCTCTGAATTATATTCATTTTCCTTTCTTCTTTGCTTCCCTTCCTTCCTCCACCACCACCCCATTTATATACAAGAGCAGGTTTTAAGATGTGATTGTATTTTTAGCTGTCCTAATACAAGGGTAGTGTAAAGAAGGAAGGCAATATTTAGTGAAGAGAGCTAGCTCTATTGGATAGGTTATTCTGCAGCTTGAATGTTAAGGTATTGAGGACCAGACATTTCTTTGGAAATATGTATGTTTTTAGAAACATAGGCAGTTTTCTAATCTTAAACCTTTGTAACTTTGTTTGCTTTATTTCTTTGCGTCAGTATGCTACATAGGCATGCATGGGGTATGGGGGGTGAGGGGGATGGAGGGTCGGGCAGGAGAGTAGGAGCCAGTACAGATGGAGTTAGTTTACTCCTTTTCCAATTTAGATGCCTTTATTAGTAACCTTTGTTGGCTGTGAGTAAATTTTTTACAGGAAGCAGCTTAAGGGGGAAGGTTGGCTTACAGTTTAATTTGATAGAGTCCACCAAGGCGTGGAAGACAAGGAAGCAAGGGCTATGAGGTAGCTGGTCACATTGTGTCTGCAACTAGGAAACAGATGAACCCTATTTTCTGCTTTTATTCAGTACAGGACCTGAGCTGTTGTGGTGGGTTAGTCAACCTGACAATTAAAATTAACCATTGCACCTTTTATTTATTTGACTAGTTGCCCGGTTTGTGCTAGCAGTGGTTCAAAAGAGGGAGGGGGGTGCATACTGTTCTTTCTTCCTGATTTTATGGGGGAAGCTTTCATTCTTTAACCAGTGAGTATGTTGTTAGTATGAATTTTCCCTGAATACTTTGATTGGTTCATTGTCAGCTTGACTGGATTTGGAATCTAGGAGACATGGGCATGCTTGTACTGGCATTTCCAAAGAGAATTTCAGAGAGGAAGACTCACCTTGAATGCGAATGATTGCATCCTGTAGATGGGGTTCTGAGTTGGATACAATGGAAAAGAGGAGAAAGCCAACTGTTTTCCAGCATTTGTCCCTCTGGTCCCTGCTGTGCACTCATGTGACCAGTCACCATGCCTTCCTTGCTATGATGGACTGTATCTTCAAATTGTAAGCCAAAATAAAACCACACTTAAGTTGCTTCTTTAAATATTTGATTTGTAGAAACAGGAAAGTAACTAATAGATGCCCTACATTATGTTAAGGAAAACTCCTGCTTGAAGTATACTTTTTGTGATGAAAAATTAAATTTTGTTGAATGCGTTCCAGTTAGAGCAGCTGCTCTCAACCTGTGGGTGGTGACCCCTTGAAGGTTGACTAAGACCATGGGAAAACACAGATATTTACATTATGATTCATAATGGTAGCAAAATTACAGTTATGAAGTATTAATGAAAATTTTATGGTTGGGGGACACCACAACATGAGAAACTATATTAAAGGGTCATAGCATTAGGAAGGTTGAAAATAACTGAATTAGATGATCATAGATGTTCTATTTTACTGATAAACTGTGCTATATGGATTAATTTTCTTATTCTAAATGACCCTTGCATCTCAGAGTAAGGCCCACCCGGTCATGATGTATGGCCCTTCTGTTGTGCTGTTGAGTTTGATTTGCCAGTGTTTTGTTGAGAAACTTAGCATCTATATTCGTAAGAAATACGGACTTGAGATTTCTTTAATGATATATTTGCCTGGCTTTGGTAATGTTTTCCTTCATTTATGCGAAGGATTGGGTTTTAAGGTTTCAAGTTTATTAGTTCTTTGAGAGCTTTTGGTTTTGTGCAATGTGTTTGATCATATTTGCCCTCCTCCCCCACCTCTTTCTAGATTCACTCCACCTTATCTACCCATTGAACTTTGTCCCCTCTTTTTTAAACAAAACAAAACAAATCCCTTGAAGACCAATTTGTTCTGTTCAAATATTCTTGTCTATGTTGTCTTCCACTGGAGGATGGTCAACTTAACAGGAGATGTACTCTTAGAAAACTGTCTCTTTCTCTCCCAGTACCTAACAATTGCTATTTGCTTCCCTACTGGGGGTGGAGTTGTGTGTTCACCTTACCTCTCCATGCTGGGGGTTTCTCTGGCTTGGTCTGGCACAGGTCTTGTACATGCTGTCACAATCTCTGTGAATTGACAGTGCAGCTGTTCCGCTGTGTCCTGAGATGTTTCTCTGTGGTCATCCTTATCTTCTGGCTCCCTTTTCTGCAATGATCCCTGAGCCTTGGGATGTTTGTGTGTGTGTGTGAAATTTATAAATTCCCATTAGGGCTAAGTAGTGGCTTATTCTCTGCATTTTGGTCAGCTTTGGGCCCTTATGTTAATCACCATCTACTGCTAATGGAAGCTTCAGTTAGGGTTCAGAGATGTATCGATCTGGAGGTCCCCACTTAGACTTTGCTTTGTTTGTTTGTTTTTTTCAAAAGATTTTATTTATTTATTATGTATACAACATTCTGCTTCCATGAATATCTGCACACCAGAAGAGGGCACCAGATCTTATAACCGATGGTTGTGAGCCACCATGTGGTTGCTGGGAATTGAACTCAGGACCTCTGGAAGAGCAGTCGGTGCTCTTAACCACTGAGCCATCTCTCCAGCCCCCTGACTTTCCTTTGTTTTTGCAGGGTGGGTCAGTAGATAGCTCTTGGTTGATAGTTGTTTCATTTAGCACCTCACCTCTTTCTGCACCCTGCTTCTGTGAGAAATTCATTACTGCAGTCCTATTGTACATAATGAATTGTTTTTCTCTCCCTGCCTTTGAGATTTTTCTCCTTGCCATTTGATGATTTGATTTTAATCTGTCTGTTAAATCTGATTCAGTCTATTTTCTTGGAGTTCTTTGAGTTTCTGGATGTGTATGTCTTTTATCAAATTTGGTAAATTTTTGTCTGTTTTTCCTGAAATACTTTTCTATACCTTTCTCTTCTTGTGGGATTCACATATTTGTATATTGATAACTTAAACGATGCCATACAGCTATCCTCAGCTGTGGTTTTGTTGTTATTTGTTTTGTTTTTGTCAGTTATTCTTTTCAGTTTCAGCTTCTCATTTGGATTCAGTTATCCTGGCTTCAGGCTTGCCTCTTTTGTCTGCTCAGACCACCTGCAGGACCTCTCTAGTCCTTTTTTGTTTGTTTGTTTGTTTCTCTGGTAGTTTTGTTACACTTACTGCACTCTGTAATATTTCAACTCAATTTCCTTATAGAACATCCATCATAAGTAATATTCCCAGTCCAGTCATATATTCTCATCTTGATTTTATTTTGTTGTCTGTGACTTCCTAGACAGTCTGTCAGTAAGCCCAGTGCTTAGACTTCTTTCTGGATAATTTCTATCAATTTTGCCCTCCCTCACGTTGAGATTATCCATACATACTTTCTATTTCATTGTGTACTGCACAGTTTCCTGTTGAAAGCAGGTAAGAATGCAGTAACTCTGGGAGTCAGATATTCTGGAATGTAGCTGTCTTACTCATTTTGTGATTTTTACAAGGACTGTATTCCCTATGTATAATCATTGTTATTTCTGAGGTCAGCCAACAATCTGAGCCCAATAAGGAAAAGAAACACTTCAATCATTCATTTTTTTTAAGGAATCTGCTTGGGAAGCCCTTCAGCCCTAAGAGGGTTGAGTCAATGGTCAGCTTCTGTTTTGGTCACTCACTGAACAGTCAGGTAAATCAGAACACATGTCTTCACATTGTAGAGGACGTGTCTCCACCCTCGCTCCAGCAGGCCTCTCTAGGAAATGAGCCATTCTCCATGGCTACCTGCCAGATGGAGCCTGGATGTTGGAAGTTACTGACTGCTGGAATTCAGTGCCACCTCCACCTTTTTTATTTTAGTTCAGTACTTCTCCAGGTGCTGACAATATTATTTAGTAGACATCAGAATTTAAAATAATTGATGTTAACAGTTCTTGTCAACTCAGTAATTGATCTGGTAGAGGGACTGATTTTTCAGTGTTTTACCCCAACATCTTCTAGGATATCACTCCTGTATTGATTCTTTAATTTAAAAGGTGTTTTATTTGTGTGTGTGTGTGTGTGTGTGTGTGTGTGTACACATACATGTGTACCTGGAAAACCTGTTTCTTGGCTTATAAGACAGGAGCTTAACTGTTTTTTTTTTTTAATAATTTATTTTTATTTTATGTACATTGGTGTTTTGCCTCCACGGATGTCTGTGCAGGGGTGTCAGTTCTTGGAGTTACAGACAGTTGTGAGATGCCATGTGGGTGCTGGGAATTGAACTCCAATCCTCTGGAAGAGGAGTCAATGTGCTTAACCACTGAGCCATCTCTCCAGCCCGAGCTTAACTGTTTTATCCTTTTCCTGTCACACGTAAAATATTATTTTATGTCAGCTCTGCACTTAGTTCACAGAGCAGTTTCTCTGTGGTTCACTAGTAAAGACCTATGGTTCCTTAGAGCAGTGGCTGTTTCCAGGCTACTAGTGCAAAGGCCAAGTACTTGGAAAGAGAAAACAGTAAAGCGAAAACAATTTTCAAAACCTCTCATGATAGATGTGTGCATTCATATATGAAGATGACATTTCAAGAGTTATGTACTTGTGAGTGCACAGTACCCTTAGATTTAAGTAATATAAATACATTGTATGGAATCTTAAAAGAATTTATAAAAATACTTTTTAAACTGTAAAGAATACAGGATTGTTAGATAGGCTCATGTAGTATGCTTCTCTATCCATTATACCTGTCATGAATCTGTATGCATATAATGTTGAAAGTTTTGATTTCTGTGTTACTATCTTTGCATGACTCCAAATGCTGTGATTTCATGTATTCATTTTCCTCTGTTGTAGGACAGTTCGTGTTTGGTTAAAGAGGGACAGTGGACAGTACTGGCCAAGCATATTCCATGCAATGCCTTGTAAGTATTCAGGTCTCCTGAGAACCTAGGTCTTTACCCCAGCACCCCTTCCTTCCCTGTTTACATTTTCGTATTTTCTTCTTGAGTAACTAAGATGAAAGATTGGGGATCTCTAAATGGAAAAGTACAAGAATAAATAATTTTATAGTTCTCTAAGGCTCTCACTATAATAAGTAAGAAAATGGTTTGGAAATTGACTATATATTCACAGGTCCTGAATGAGAGGACTGGAAAAAGACAGACTGTCTGATTACAGCAGTCCCCTCCTGTTTCAAACTTTACTTTAGCAATTTTGGAATCTGTGACCCTAGACAATTCAAAGTTCTGTTAGGTCATTATAAAGTGTCAATTTATCCTTACTGTTGTTAAACCATTTATTTAAAATTCAAGACATTCAGCGTTCAGTTCTGAGGATTTGATGCATTCTAGTTAGAAGTGGATCTCATTTCGCCAAGATCTTACTGGAGAAATATGTCCTTCCCCTGGTTGGTACAAGAGTTGTACCAGCCATGCCATCATTGGCATAAGCCATCAAAGCAATGGTGTTCTCAAATCAAGGGCAACAGCCAATTTTCCATTCTAGGAGATCATAGAGCTAAAAGAGAAAGGAGACGGAAAAGGCAGGAGAGAAGAAGTGGGGGAAGGAAAGACGTTCCCAGATTGTTCCTCTAATACAAGTTCCTCTACAGGTGAGGAGCTGACTTGTCATGTTAGGAAATTACTTTTAGTCTAGAGATTTCATTCTTTAAAATTAATGAGGTTTATTGTGTTTGTTTTGGTGTAAAATAATTGTTTGAATTTATTATAGTAAACATTTTTTTCCTTTCTTTTTCGTTAAGATATGGTCTCACTATGTGCCTTGCCTGGTCTAGAACTTGCTATGTAGACCAGGTTGGCCTCAAACTCACTGAGGTCCATGTGCTTCTGCCTACATGTGCCAACTGTATGTAGGGGGAGGTGGAGTACTGGGATTAAAGGCCTGTACAACATTCCTGGCATCCATTTAAATCTTAATTAAAATTGGCATGTAGAAAAATCTCCCTGGTTTGTTAGTGCTCACACACCCTTTGCTGTCTGAAGGGACAAGACAAGTGTGTGTCTTGTCCCTTCAGAAGTTTCCTGGCTTCAGCAGATATGACACTATGCTAAGCCAAAGTAGGTTCTAGGTGATTTTGTTTATGCCTCTGGTAGAAGAGTACTATAATATTTTGCTTGTTCAGGACTAAATGATTTATTATTTATAACTTTTTATACAGCACATTTTGATTGTATTCCCCACAACTCATCCTAGATCTTCCCCACCTCCCAACCCACCCATATTCATGTTCTTAAGAAACAAAAACAAAACAGCCCCCACCAAATGAAAATCAAAATAAAATCCACTAATACCCAAAATGCCAAAACAAAACAACCCCCCCCAACACACACCTACCCCCACACAAAATAAAGGTAAACTCCTGGAGTTCATTGTGCTGGCCAACTATTATTAGAAATGGGCCTGCCCTAGAGTTGATATATACAGTGACAAATCCATTGGAAAAAACATGATTTTCCTTTTCCTTGTAGGTATCAATTGTAAATAGCTTCCTGGTTAGTGGTGGGATTTTGTGTCTGCTTGCCTTATGGGATTTGGCTGACTTGAATCTTTGTAGGGCTTGTTTGTGTTGCCACAGTCTCTTTCAGTTCCTATGTTAATCAGTCCTGTTGTGCCTGCAAGACACCGTTTCTTTGGGGTCACACACTACCTCTGTCTCTTACACTCTTTCCACCTCCTCTTCTGCATAGGTCCTTGAGAATTGGTTGTAGGGGTTTGATGAGTACATCCCATTTAGGACTGAGTGCTCCAAAGTCTTTCTCGATAGGCACACTGCCCAGTTGTAGATCTCTTTGTTAATTGCCATCTACTGCAAGGAAAAGCATCTGTGGGCATAGCAATATGCCACTTAGAGATATTTTATATTATGGTCCTTTATTAGAATAATAGTAGTTGGATTTCCCTTGGACACATGATCTATCCAATCTCAGGTATGGGTTCCATCTCCTGAGTGGGTCTTAAACTCAATTAAAAAAAGTTGTTGGTTACTCTCTTAACATTCATGCCATGGTTGTACCAGTATATATTGTAGGCTTGTTGCTATTATAGTCAATTACTGACAATTACTGACAATTACTTTTCTTCTCTGGTGGGATGCAGAGTACCTTTTGTTACCATGAGTACTAGTCAGTAGGGATGAAGCTTCTAGTTGGGTAACACCTCAACTTCTCCATGTTCTGTGACTTAAGTGTTGTCTTCAGCCTTTCCATCAGGTTGTGGAAAGCAACCAGTAGACCTTGTAGTAGCCTGTCACGTAGGGGTTTGGGTGAGGTAAATGAAATCACTTTGGCCAATAGATTCATGGTATGGAGATTTTACTTAGTGGCACAAAATGTCTAGTTAGGGCAAATGTCTCCTTCATTATAACATGACTCCATTTGAATTTTTTCCATTCACATATCAATTTTAGGAAGTTTCTATGGTTGTAGGCTTCTTTATTGTGAGTTATCCTTCCCCATATCCCTTTCTTTACTCTGCTCTCCCATCCTACTCTCCACTTAGTCCTTCTTTTCTACTTTCTCTATACTCCATTTCCCCTTCACTGGAAAGGAAGATCTACTTCTGTTCTTCCCCAGTGCCTTACTAGGTACCTAACATCTGTGGCTATTTGGATTGAAACACATATCTAAAGGTTAAAAGCTAACATCTCTATATAAAAGAAATAATGCAATATATGTTTGGGGAGTCTGGGTTACCTTACTCAGGAAGATTTTTTTCTACCCACATCCATTTATTTGCAAATTTCATTTTTCTTAACAGTTAAATAATATTCTCTTTATAATACATCACATTTGTTTGTCATTTGATGGACATATAGCCGTTTTCAATTTCTGTCTATTATGAGTATAGTAGCAATGAATATGGATGAGCAAGCATCTCAGAAGTAGGATGCAGAGACTTTTAGGGATATGCTCATGAGTGGTATTGTTGGATGTTGTGGAAGATGGATTTTCAGCTTTTTAAGAACCTCCACAATGATTTCCATAGTGTTTGCACAAATTTACATTCTCACTAGCAATGAATAAATGTTCCCCTTTCCCCAAATCCTTACCGGCATGAACTGCCATTTGTTTTATTTATCTTGGCCATTCTGACTGGGGTAAGATAAAATGTCAAAATAGTTTTTAATTTGTATTTCTCTGATGGCTAAAGATGTCAACATTACTTTTAAGTACTTCTTGGCCACTACGTTTCATCTTTTGAGAACTCTGCTTAGTTCTTGTGATGATTTGAATGAAAATGGGCTCCATAGGCTCACAGGGAGTGGCACTATTTGGAAATGTGGCCTTGTTGGATGAAGTGTGTCATTGGGGGTTGGCTTTAAGGTTTTATAATCTCAAGCCAGGCACAGTGGCTGACTCTTCCTGCTGATGCAGTTATAGAACTCTCTGTTTCTTGTTTAGCACGACGTCTGCCCATGTGCTGCCATGCTCTTCACCATCATGATGATAGACTAAACCTCTGAATCTGTAAGCCAGCCTCAACTAAATGTTTTCCTTCACAAGAGTTGCTGTGGTCATGGTGTCTCTTCTGTACCCATTTTTATATTGGAATGTTTCCTTGATGTCCAGTTGTTTTAGTTCTTTATGTATTTTATAGATAATAGCCCTCTATTAGATGCATTTGGTAGATGTAGTTGGTAGCCTGCCGCTTTGTCCAAAATATGGTGTCCTTTGCCATATAGAACCTATTCAGTTTCATGAGGTATCAATTATTAATTGTTGATCTTAATGTCAACAGTATGTCATGATCAGAAAGTCCATTCCTGTGATAATGAGTTCAAGCCTATTCCCTATTTTCTCTTCTACCAGATTCAGAGCATCTGATATTATGGTGATGTCCTTGATTTTGAAGTTGAGTTTTGTTCTGGGTTATAAATATGGATCTATTTGCATTCTTCTACATGCAACCACCCAGTTTGACTACCTCGCACCATTTGTTGAAGATGCTATCTTTTCTTCAGTGTGTATTTCTGTTTTCTTTGTCAAAAATCAGGTGTCCATAGATGTATAGACTTATGTTTGGGTCATTGATTCAATTCCATTGATTAATGTATCAATTTTTATGCCATACCATGCTGTTTTTATTACTGTAGCTCTGCAGTACATTTTGAACTCAGGAGTGATGACACTTCCAGTAGTTATTTTATTATTTGAAATTGTTTTAGCTATCATGTTTTTATTTTCCCTTTTCTTCTCTTCTCTTCTTTCTTTCTCCCTTCCTTCCTTCCTTCCTTCCTTCCTTCCTTCCTTCCTTCCTTCCTTCCCTTCTTTCTTCCTTGTGTGTATGTGTTTTCCAATATGAAATCTAAGATTGTTTTTTCAACTTCTGTGAAGAATTATGATGGAATTTTGATGGGAATTGCATTGAATATGTAGATTGCTTTTGGTAGGATGGCCATTTTTAAAGTATTAGGAATTATGGGTATGTTTAAATTCTTTATTCATCTTGATTTAGCTTTGGTAGATTATATATGTAGAGAAACTCATCCATATTTTTTAAGTTTTTGAGTTTGGTGTAACACAGATTTTTCAGGAGTATCATTATTTTCTGAATTTCCTTGGTGGCTGTTTCTGCGCCTCTCTTTTTATCTCTAATTTTATTAATTTAGATCTTCTCTCTCCTTCTCTTGGTGAATTGGGTCTGGGTTCTGTCTCATGGAGTGAGCCTTAAAGTCAAATCAGATATTGGTTGGCTCCCATAAGCTTTGTGCCACCATTGTTCTAGCATATCTTTTTTTTTAGATATTTTATTTATTTATTATGTATACAACATTCTGCTTCCATGTGTATCTGCACACTAGAAAAGGGCACCAGATCTCATAACAGATGGTTGTGAGCCACCATGTGGTTACTGGGAATTGAACTCAGGACCTCTGGAAGAGCAGTCAGTGCTCTTAACCTCT